TAAAGGAGCAATGACTGCAGGAGGAACTCACATGGGAGCTTTCCATCTCATGGGCTGCACAGCTGCTGTGCCAGGTCAGGCATTTCAGTGGGAATGGAGAAGCAGAAGTACAGAACTTCCATCCACAATACACATATTCCATGTGAGACATGTGCACAGCCTGTTAATTTCAATGCTTCATCTCTTTTCCCACTCTAGGAGCACAAAGCCAGTTCCATCATGCTCTCTAGATTAGCAAATTCTCCCCATCCCCTTCTGGAAAGCTTTCCTGAGACCTTTCCCACCAGAAGCCCTAAGAGCCCCATATCTCTGTCACTGTGATTACCCAAGAGCACTGCACTCCTTCTGGGATAGGTGTGGTGACTTCCCAGGCTTTTCCCTCTGGGCTGGTGTGTTCCCACACCCGCTTCCTTAACAGAGCAGGGTGGTATTTCGCTTTTTGTCTCTGTTACCTCTTCTGTATGCACACATATTATGAAAACATTTTCAGAGACGTGGTGCAGAGAATACTGTGGAGCTTGCTTGGGGGGTTTTTTCCTGATCCATTTCTCCCGTATTGCATTATTTCCTGTCAAAGTTTTTGTCCTAGGGGGGAAGTACTCTTTAAAAATATATTTTAAAATATCTAAGTCTTTGGGGGTGTTACTGAGCAGCATCTGGATTTATTTGTTTGGTAATCTGCTGAAGTGCTTTGTGAAGCAAAGACTGAGTCACATGTGATTTATAATGACCAACTTTGTCAGACTGGAGAAGTATGAATCCTTGGGTAAATCAAGCAGTGCTGTCTGAATTTGGTGCTATGAAATCCTAATGTTTAAAAAAAAAGGCCTGGTGAGTAATGAGCGCTCTATAAAACACAAAAAAGGGAATTGCAGAAAGACTTTGACTAACGCTGGAGTAACACAGCTATCAGTATTGAGCAAATCAGAAAAAAACCTGGTACAGCTCACTTCCTTTTGATCTGGGAGATCTCAGGAGCTGGGTTAACAAATGTAGCCGTACCCTTGTTGTGAAAACGTTGCCCCATAGCCCCGGGCTAAGGACAGCTTTTGCTAACAGCCCAATGAGATTTGGCTGATGTGCATTGCTCATAGGAGCAATACAGCAAATCAAGCCTAAACATTTCTGGTGGTTTCCTCGTGTTTTGCTACTGAATGCTTCCACAGCTTTCAGATGTAATGTTTGATTTTTCCCAATGAATAACAAATGTATTAATATTAAACAAAATAGAAATAAAAAGGCAGAAACTGACCAAAGCAAACTAATATGTGAAGTTCATCTTTTACTTTTTTTTCTATTACCTTGTTGGAAACTGACTTCTTAAAAAGTCTGTTCAGAGCAGCTTTCCAAGCCTCTTGGAAAGTCCAAATGTCTGGATGTGGCACGAGAGCAAAATATTTACTAAAACTCTCACATCGATGAAGGATTTTCTGGGACACTAATAGTTGTCTGGATGAACAAATGACTGGTGATCCTTTCTTTGCTGCAGATATTCATTCTGCTGGTACTGTAAAGCACTGAATCCACGTAGAGGCTGAAATTTGTTGCTCACATACAGGACCCCTTGCTGGCCCTTTGAAGTAGGACCAAAGTGGTTTGCACGTTTGCAGTTTCTACTGAATTGTGGCACTTTGTCCATTTCTTGTTGCTGCCTTTCATGTCATGAGGTAGAAACTCAAAGGAGAAACATTGTGAAATACTCTGTTACAGGCTGGACACTCAGGAATAGCAAAAAAATAATACCTGCCTACCAAAAGTGCTTTGCATCTTGTGAAGTTTAATTCAGCTGCGTTAACAGCTTGTTGTCTGAATTAAAACTAACAAGACCAGTAACTTGTAGCAGAAATACGAATTGGATCTGTTGGATAGAGTTGGAGTCTTTAGACTCCAACCAATTCCAAAATAATTGTATGCTGTTTTGAATGCAGACAAAAAGTTTGGTGGCTTAGAAGGAATCCGGGTCCTGCCCACTTCTCAGTTGTTGATTTTCACCACTGGATATCTTAGCCTGAGAACTGAAAGCTAACAAGTAAAGGTACAAGGTAACAAGTAAATATGGACACACATAATTAACTTGTTTACATTCTGCAATATGATCTCACTGGCTGTTCCTTATCTATTTGTTAGTCATGCTGAGAACTAAACCAACTAGGAAAGAAAATCACATCCTCACTGGAAGGGTGTTTGCTGCTCTGCATAAAGAGCAAAGTCTGGGTTTGACTTTCACTCCTCTGTCCAGGATTCTGCAGACAGATACCTCAATAGCTCTGTCAGATACCCTGTCAGCCAGGGTAGCTCGATGCAAGCAATGGAATCAATCATTCAACTTCTCCTGTAACAGAAAGTGCTTTCCCTCATTTCCAGTAAGATTTGCTTTGATTAGAAGTGCATCCCAAGCCCGTACACTTCATTTTCTTTTCCCACGTGGAGGCTGGGGGCTGTGATGCCTTACAGGGAGCTGTGGCTCGGCTCCGGGGCTGTCTAGACGGGTTGACTCCCATCGTGCTGTGAATTAGGGCCAGACAGCAGCGCCGCCGCTTCCTCCCGCAGCCGTGACTCAGCCCCTGGCAGCTGACTCAGGGCAGCGAGGAACCTCACCTTGGCCAGCCCAAAGGGGCACGGAACGGCTGCCAAAGAGCAACCCTCTGAAAGGGAGCAAAGCCTTTGGATGAGGGATGAGTACCCCCGAGTCGCTCCTGTGGACTGGCTTTGCAATTTCTGACAGTGCTGCACAGGCAGTCCCTAGGAAGCCAGAATTGATCATTTGGTAAAAAAATTCTGGTATCTTAGATAACTTATCCTTCAGTGCTTGTGTGTTTTTGTGAGGTTATACAGTCCCTAGGAAGCCAAAATTGATAATTTGGTTAAAAAATTCTAGTATCTTAAGGGGAACTTATCCTTTGCTGCTTGTGTGATGTTGTGAGCTTATACAGTCCCTAGGAAGCCAAAATTGATAATTTGGTTAAATAAAATAAAAATCTAGTGTCTTAAAGATAACTTATCCTTCACTGCTTGTGTGGTATTGTGAGATTATACAGTCCCTAGGAAGCCAGAATTGATCATTTGGTAAAAAAATTCTAGTATCTTAAAGATAACTTATCCTTCGCTGCTTGTGTGTTGTTGTGAGGTTATACAGTCCCTAGGAAGCCAGAATTGATCATTTGGTAGAAAAATTCTAGTATCTTAAAGAGAACTTATCCTTTGCTGCTTGTGTGATATTTTAAGATTTTACAATCCCTAGGAAGCCAGAATTGATCATTTGGTAAAAAAATTCTAGTATCTTAAAGAGAACTTATCCTTCACTTCTTGTGTGATGTTGTGAGGTTATACAATCCCTAGGAAGCCAAAATTGATCATTTGGTAAAAAAAATTCTACTATCCTAAAGATAACTTATCTTTTGCTGCTTGTGTGACATTGTCAGGTTATGCAACCAAGTAGAGAAAATCAATCCTCCTTTTCCCTAAGTTGCTGATCAAAGTACTCATAAACCACTCTTTTCGTTTATTGCCCTATTTACTAGAGTTTAGAAACTTATTAACTCATCTGCAGTTTTGCTTTGATCAGGTCTGTAGTACAAAAGCCCTGAGATAAGTTAGTAAATAACAATAAAAGTAATGTGGAGTTTGTGTTTGTTGGGTTGGGTGGTTTCTTTTTAACCTGTTGAGGAGGCAGCAAAGTTAGAAAAATTAGCAACAAGTACCAAGTTCATGTATAGGAACTCCCCTTCCTGATAGAATTTTTAGGAGGCTTCCTGAAGAAATGATAATTAATAGCAAGAACAAGTGAATGGAACACAGGAGTAGATGGTGTTCCTTTGGGTTTTCCTCTGCTTATTGTAGAAATATTTTTCTTTTGGGATTCCCATTAGACTAAATCAGTCCCTTGGTAAACATGGTATTTTTAACTTTTATTCGGGGCTTGAAATGTTATTATTTGTTCTATCACTTTTTATCATGCTCGCAATGAGGAAAGCAAAAAGTTTAGACTTTTGGTGGCAATAAACTCCAGTCCTGTTATATATTAAATATTAATATTAAATATTAATATTAATTTGCAGAAATGAATATTTTGAATTAATATGAATTTTTTGCTCTTTGGAGGTGTTCAGTGTGTTTTCTGTTACCTGAGAGACTGCTATACTCAGCAGATGTTGAACTCTTATATGGGCTGAGGAGGACGAGGCTGCATCTGACTGAGCCAGGATGATAGTGCTAAAATGTTATCAGTGAGAGATGACACGAGAGCTGCAAAGTGCAGCTGAAGGGATTGGAGCTGCACCGGGTGCTTTTCCCCCAGGTGGGCAGTGCAGGGGTGCAACAGTAACAGAGATCTCCACCAGGGAGGATTTGCAGATTCCCTCTTCCCCGCCTTGCACCTGCTGCTCGGCATTCCTGTGGCTGGGGAGATGCTGTGATCCTGGGATTTAAAATTACTTCATTTAATAGCCTACGTGTTTGAAAATCAGAATTTTCTTCCTGCATGGCTGGGTGCACACTGGCGCTCCATGTTTGCTTAACAGTTTGCTTTGTTTTCTTTCAGGAAAGCATTGTTTGCTTTCCTGAAAGATTTGTTCAGAAAGATTTCACCAAACAGACTTGGTAAGACCACACACGGATGTCCCCCTCTTCAAATTTCTAGCACTCCTTCATAGGACGGTACCATGGTTTGGGTTGGAAGGGACTTTAAAGGCCGTCTCATCCCACCCCCTGCCATGGGCAGGGACACCTTCTACCATCCCATTTTGCTCCAAGCCCCATCCAACCTGGCCCTGAACACTTGCAGGGACGGGGCAGCCTCACTTCTCAGAGCGACCTGTGCCAGGGCTTCACCACGGCCACAAGGACCACTTTCCTTGACCTTGCTCCAGCCTTTAGCTCGGGCAGAGACGAGAGCGGGATGCCCGGAGGAGTTCGGCGGTGCCGGCCGCTCCCGGCGGAAGAGAGCGGCAGCCCGGGCGCGGAGCGGCCAGGGCCCGCCCCCGGCACCACATGATGCCGCCTCTCCTTCCTGCCGCCCCCGTCCCGGCGAGAAAGGGGAAGTGGCTGCGCTCGGCTCCCCGCCCCGCCGCGGGAAAGGCGCGGGGCCGGCGCGTCCCGGCAGAGCCGCGCCCGCGGAGCAGCGCGGCCGGGCCATGGCGCGCCTGGGCGCGGTGCTGCTCCCGCTCCTGCTGCTGCTGGGCGCCGCGCTGGCCCCGGGCAGCGCCTTCAACCTGGACGTGGAGCGCCCCGCCGTCTACTCGGGCCCGGCGGGCAGCTACTTCGGCTTCGCCGTGGACTTCTTCGCCCCCGACCCCTTCTCGTAAGTGCGCGCCGTGCCGTGCCGTCCCGAGCCGTGCCGTGCCGTGCCGTGCCGTGCCGTGCCGTGCCGTGCCGTGCCGTGCCGTGCCGAGCCGAGCCGTGCCGAGCCGCTGCCCCGGCGCGGGGCGAGAGCCGGCGGAGGATGCGGAGCTGCCCCCGCTCCCTCCGCAGCCGGGGCGGCTCTCGGAGGGGACGCGGCTTTGCTCAGGCCCCGGGCGGGGATGGAGCCCCCGGCGGTGCCGGCAGGGACAGATCGCATCCCTGCCCCGTCGGGGCGGCTGCGGCGGCCGAGACGCCCTGGCCGGGGAGCCAAAGGCGATGCCGAGCGGCCGGGGGCTGCGGTGGGACGGGAACCTTGTGCTGTGGGATTCTCTGCATAGCCTGCTCTGATGCGAACGATGTTGGTGGTGAATACAGTGTAGAAAGACGTAGTTATGGTGTTTTGGTTGCTGAAGCTGTGTCCCGTGGCATTTCAGAAGATACACTGTCCTCTCTTTGAGTGTGCTTTGAGGGAGTGCTGTGTTTGAGTTGTGGTGAGTCTGTGCCAGTCTCCAGACTGCTGAGGAGTCTAGAGAAGGAAAAGTTCCATGTAAGCACTCTCCGCGTCTGCTTCCTGAATATGTTCCCGTTTCATGTTAAAGATTAGGCAGTGTGTAGTCGCTGTTGCGTTTCAGACCTTTGAATCCCAACTGAGTCGCTAACTGCACAGCCTCGGTGTCGCCAGAATGAATCAGGCTCTGGCTCTGAAATGCGGGCTACAGTAACATCCAGCTTTTGTCGCTTTCCCCCCACTCCTCTCCCATCTTAAGGGCTGTAAGATTGGAAAAGCTGTTGGCTTTCATCCTGCTGAAGGGATATTCTCTCTCCCCCGTTAATCTTTAGCTTGTGAAACTTTATAAGCAAATTGTACAGCTATTGAGTAAGTCTTTCTGCTGTACATCATCTGGCTTTGTTTGCGTTTTTTTATTACCTACATATATTAGAAGCCATCCTGTCTTAACTTGCACATGTTGCACCATCTTTCTCTGCTATCTTAATCCTGTAAGTCTTGGTACTAAAAGAAAAAAGCTTCTATTTTTGTCCCGCCCTTTATTTTTAAGTCAGCATGTGTGGCTGCAGAGTTATCAAGAGACTGGTAAATGGATGTAATAAACTTTCTTCCTTGCTTTCTGATAAGGAATTATGTGACACAGCTCTCCATGAAATCACTATTTGGAACCTTTCCATTATTTTTATAAGAACTATTGACCTCCAAGTGCACTGCTGTTAAAGAAAACAGTGTGGTTGTCAGGCAGCATGAAAAGCTTCTGTATATTTCAAAGGGAATTCTATGCTTGTTTGTTGTTTTTGGTGTTTTTTTTTTGTCATCACTAAAATTTTGTTTGTACCTTCTAACCTAAGCACTTTATTTTACATTAAAGTTTGTAATTGAATCAAGTAGCTCTGCAGCTTTCACAGGAACAGGCTCTTGTGGTGTTCAGTTTTCAGTTTATGCCTACGGACACTGACATTTTTCTCCTGAAATAGCCAGAAATACTTGTATGCAGTGTCCAGGCATATGGGGTGTCATGTGGTTTCTATGTCTTTCTTTTTGCTGTGGTGAGCTTTTATTCATCACCTGTTTTAGAGCTTTTATTCATCACCTGTTTAATACATCAGTACCAGAGATTAAGTCAGTTTTGCTTGGCTAAAGCTCTTTGGATTGCTTAGCCTGACAACAAAGGCATGCTGTTAGTCCCTGAACACTCAAGCTGCTGTTTCACAGTCTATTTTGACCCGCTGGATGCCAAACAAAAGCATATTTAGAAGTCCAGGATGAAAATCCCGTTCCAGGAGTGGAAGCGGTGTTGTGTCAGGGTGCCTGGCCGTGGGCACAGCTTCCATAGGAGCACAGCTCCTTGACAGCTGGCACAGGTTTGTCACACACCCTCTGCTTCCGAGGAGCTGCCCTTGATAGTCCAGGATGCAGCTCCATGGGAGCCCCAGTTTCTTTGTTGCCCATGGACAGGCACACCAGAGGTGCCAGAACACTCCAGTGTTGCCCCAGCGTTGGGATGGGGTGGATGGTTCAGGAACATGATTCAGGAAATTGGCAGTACCAAAGCATAGCTGGTGTATTCCCATGGAAATCCAATTGTCCCTCTATTCCCTCTTTCCTAAAGTACATGGATTAGAGACTTCTAAGTATTTGGGTAATTTGCATATTATTATAAGAGCTGTGACAAAATCTGCTTGCTTGGTCTCTGATTCTGAAAATGCTTTTTTTTTTCTTGGGGAAAAGACCTTTGTGGAGCCATATAAGGGCTCCTTTATTTGTAATCTTTTAAATAAACTTCATCACAAATATTAGCTTAAGAAAAATTTAAAATAAATTATTGGAATGGGAATTAATAAATCTTTTAAACAAGTGCTTCATTTGGGGGACTTCTCACAAGTCAGTGGTACAGGAGTAAAATGGGAGGTAAGCTACCTCTTGTTTAATAGATTGTAATTATAATAATTTATATGTTTCTTTACTTGGCATTATAATGTTCAATTTTTATCATTTCTGTTCTGCCCAGGGAGCTGATTTTATGTTGATTAAAGAGTTTCAAATTCCTGTTGTAAAAATCTAGACAGTCTAAGAATGGCAACTAAAGAAAACAAATGGATTGCCAGCTAGCCTGGATTTTCTATCAGGGTCCATGCCAGGGCATTTTTATGGTTCTGAAAATTCTCAGAGGTTGAAAACTGGTAGGTCTTCATGCAAGCTGAGCTTTGATGAGGTGCTGCATGTTTATACCTATGCTTATCTCTTTACTAAAAAGGAGCCTGGAGATGACTCTGAAAACCAGAGCAAGTTTGATAAGCCTGGATTTGCCTGCCTGTAGACATTCTCTCCAACCAGTCCTGCAGCTTGTTCAGCTAACCCAAGCTTTCCAAGCTGGAGAGCTGTAGTGCCTGACAAGACTTGCTCCTGCAGGCTGCATTCCCTCTTAAGCAGTCCAAAGGGCAGAGACAGAGCAGACTGATTCTGATGAAAGGAGGCACTTGGTTTTGTCCTCCAAGCATGACTTCATGCTTCACATTGACTTTCTCAGTCAAGTGCTGATGAGTGAAGTGTGTCTCAGAGGTGCTGGGGCTCCTGGAAGACACCAAGAGCCTTGTTCAGTCTGTTTCTTGCCCTGACACTTCCGAATTTTGCCACCTGCATTTTGCCACCTGCAGGAACAGTCTGGAGGCAGTTCCTGCTCGGGGTGCACCCCGCAAGTGTCTGTAGAAGCAGAGATGCAGGAAGGCACAGCAGATGCCAATAAGAAAATGATGACTGTGCAATGAGTGTGGGTGAGGATTCATTAGCATGCAGATCTGTGGCTCGGGGTGGCTGGCACTTGGAGGTTGTTTTTACAGAGCACTTGCTCAGGCAGGGCTGACTCATCACGTTCGGTACATGCTGAGCTCCCCCAGCGCTCCTGCTTTGTTTATACATTGTTTCCATTTTTGACTGACTTCCTCGAATTACCCTTACTCACAAAATTAACAGAAATTGTGCCACCTGATGGCTTTTGTAAGGGACAGAAGTGTACAATTTCCTGTTCTGCTGTGCACGTTCATATTTTTGAAAGGAAAAAATAATATAAAAGGTGTTTCTCTCATTTGCAATATAATCCTAAAGAGGCCTGGATACTTTAAATTTGTCATATCTTTTCTCTCTCTTTTTTTGGTAAATGGGTGGTTGGGTTTTTTTTAGCATGCTTTTGCATGCAGAAAAGAGAACCTCATATGAATTTCTCTGTAACTGGGAGTAGTTCGAGTTGGATTTACATCAGAGTAGGCAAGACTTCTGCTTTATTAACTCTTGAGATGTCACAAAGTTATAACAGCTGTGCCTTAGGTGTTGAAACCTTTGTTTTGCTTCTCCTTTTTCCTGCAGGACATATCTTCTGGTGGGAGCTCCGAAAGCCAACACGAGCCAGCACAACATCGTAGAGGGAGGGCAGGTGCTTAAATGCAACTGGAACTCCAACAGGAACTGCCAGCCCATTGTATTTGATGCCACAGGTAACCTGGGGGTCACTGTGGGGTTGATGGGGTGTCCCTGCCCCCTCTGTGGGGAGGGGCAGCAGAAAGGTTTCAGGGATTTTTTCAGTGTGAATGCGGCTGGTTTTTGACTGGCAGCTAGTCAAGGCTTGCTTGTGCTCTCCTTTTCCTCCCCTCTCTTTTAGAGTTGTTGTCCCTGGTATGTGCTGAAAGCCTGAGTGAGCAAACATTATTCTTCTTGCGTGTTAACCTATTTATATTTCTCCTCTGTACTTTTCAGCAATCCTAAAACATTTGGCAACCTAATTCCCAGTGGACCCTGAGGGGTTTTCTTCCTATTAAGATTGTGTCATATGAGGAAAGATATTTTCAATATCTGCAAAGGTGGTTTAGACAGAAATACCCAGAAGTTTCATCTGAAACCAGGAATATGGCCTAAAAACTGTGGAAAAATGTCTTTTTTAAATTTGTCCCCTCAGATTTAGCTCCACAGTGTTTGTGGCTTCTGTGATAGCAGCACTCAGGTTGTAGGCATTCCTTACCCATTGCTGAAGCACAGAAGAGCTGAGCAGCAGCAGTGTGGGCATGAAATATTTCAGTCATTCTTCATGCTCTGGTGCACACAGTGATTTCCACAGGCTGTGGCAGGTCATGAGAATGCACTGCATGTGCTTTTCTGCTCCAGCCACTCCGTGCTGAATCCTGTTTTCCACAGCATGTTTCAGGGCAGCAGAAAAACCTCCCCATGACATGGGATTAGCAAGACCCATGTGGTAAGGCAGAGGAAACACCTGTGCCTTGAAGGTCTGGTTGGTTGTAATTCATTCTTGCTTCTGCCAGTATTTTGACTTGGCAGCCTAAAAGTTGCTAGGTTGATGCAGCCTTTTAAAATCATATGCAGTAGAGTGGAGAAGCCCTTCTTCCAATTTCACTGTCAAGGTATGCCACAAAATGTTGTTGGTGTTCAGATTTCTGAAATCTTCATATCTTTTTGTAAAAACCACCGGTTTTCTTGCAAAAAACAAAAAGGAAAAAAGTATTCAATGGCACCCACAAACCCCAAGTCGTTATCATTCCTTCACTCACTTATCATTCATCTCATTCTATAGGAGCATATCTGTCAGATTACTAAAAATCTCCAATAATCTGCCAAGTCTGACATTTTTTTCTGAATCAGTGTCAAGGCAGCAAAACCAGATTATAACTATCTTCTTTTTGTTGTTGTTCTTTGGGCTTATTGTTTACCAGAATACAAGTGTGCTTTTTGTTTGTTTGGGTACTTTTAAGAAATAATCTTGTGTTCCTAGTTAATAATCATCATTAATATCGCAGCCAAAAACTTCTGGTGGGGTAAAATGAGCCACACGTGTAGGTTCTAGACACATCTTCCAATGTTAATTACAGTGCATTTATGAGTTTATACAGTGAACATTTGCAGTAGGCTTTTCCATGTGCCAGGTGGAGTTGATAGAGGCCACACTGCTTTCCTGCATGTCTGTGCTTAAGGGATGTGCCCCTGGGCAAACAGACAGTGTTTTGCTCCTCATTTGCCTTTAAGGAACAGGCATGTTAATTGCTTGAAATTTAACAGTAAAAATAGCAGGTCATAAAGGCTTAAGAGGATTTCTTTCAGGCATGCTTTAACGCACTCCAGCTTTGAGGCAATGAATGGGGGAATAATGCATTTGTCAATTATTATCCTGGTGAAAAGAGGCATTGTATTTCAGCTTGATAAAATAATAAATGCCCTGAGACAAAAAAGAACATGTCTTTTTCTTTGTGCTCAATACAATGCTCGATTCCCTGTGTTCTGGTGACAGAGCCAGTGCCAGCACTGGGAGCTGCTGCTCCTGCCTGCCCCCACCTCCTTAGGGAGCAGGGCTTAGGGAAGGCTCCTGAGCCACTTTGGGAAACAGGAAGTGGAAGATCTGACCACTGACTTGTGCTGATGTGAAGGGGCTTTTTGTAGATGACTAAATGCAGCCTCTGCAGCAATCCAGGCTCATCCATTTGTGCAACACCATCTGTAACTCCAGAGGTATTGCTTAGCCCAGCCATACAAGGCAGATTTTTTATTTCCTCCCAGATTCACTGGAAAAACCAACTTCTGCATCATTGCTTAGATGTGTTTCTTCAGAGTTATTTATTTTCTAATTGCTTACAGCCAGTGAGAAATCTGACCTGTGAAAATAATGAGAATGCTTGTACTTGTGGCTTTCCTCTGTTTGCCAAACTCTGCATGCAGATCTGGATGCCCTGTAATTAACAGGAGTCATGACCCGATTCCTGCTCCTGCTCCCTTCTGCCAGGTAGCACAGCTGGAAATGCCCAAGCAGCTAAAGTGGCAAAGGAATGCAGGAAAGAACAAGCCTTGTTCTGACTGGGTAGGGCTGTGTTTGTCCCTTTGTCTTGTATCACAAATAAATATGAGACTAGGGTTTTACAGAGGTCCAGCGAGCAAGGTTTCTTCCTCTGTATGTTGTTCTATTACTATTAATTAGGACAATTCCTTCTTAAACATTCCGTGGTTTTTATTTAAGTTTTTCTGCAGCTTTATGAGTCCATTTCTCTTCCCCATCTGTACAAAGACCATGCTGAGCTGGCTGGACAGGGCTGGGTTTTATTTTCTAGCTCTTGATTTTGGCTTTTTTGATCATATTTGCATGGCAGCGTGGTCATTTATGTGATCAAATGCCACAGCTCTTCTGTAGCCCAGGAGGGAAGGTACCAGCTGCTGGAGGATAACCTTTGGAAGAGTTGTTCCAGCCCTGAAGTTCAGCAGCATTGCTTGCTTACTTGCACTTACCCTGACCCCAGCTGCCCTGGAGGAAGGCGATAAGTCACTGAGCTGATAGTTCCTGTGCTGCAGAATTTACTACTTTGTGTATTCCTTCCTGTGGGTGACCACTCAGCTCTGTCAGGATGGGAGTTGGGCAGTAGGAGAACATTTGTGCAATGTCATTTATGTAGCTCTCATGCTGAAATTACATGCATTTCCCTCTTCTTCATGCCCTTCCCCTCAACCTGTAACATAAAACCAAAATCAAACAAATGCAGTTATTGTAATTTTTAAACCTCTGGCTAAAAAAGCTAAGTTCTCTCACAGCATATTTTCTCATTTAAAACAGCAATATATTTCATGGAATCACCGATGGTTTGGGTTGAAAGGGACCTTGAAGATGATCTAGTTCCCACCCCCTGCCATGGGCAGGGAGAATTTGTGGAAGGGAATCTCCCCTTGTCCTGGATCTCTCAGCACAGTGGTTATACTCCCTGAAAATTCACTGCAGAATATTCTGTCTGTGTGTTTCTGTGCACATTACAATAATTGCTTTTGACATTCTGGTATATATGGTGGCTTTGGAAGGCAAAATGTTTTTATGGCACATTAACACTTCCCAAATGTAAAGATGCTTTGCTGTGGGGCTGCTGAGCCTTTTAGCAGTGACATCAGTTGCCTTTGATTTAACACAGTTGTGACTATGTGAAAGTGGCATAGCAGATGTGTGTGGTAGAGTCTGCCCTGAAGTTCAGGGTGCACATGGCTGTGCTGCATGTGCTTGTGTCACTGGGCTAGAAATTGAATAGGTTTTTGTTAAAAAAGGCTTTCTAATGGCACCAGGCAAGTGTTTCAGGCTGGCTTCTGCTCTTAGGAGCACATCAAGCTAGTAGGTTAAGAAGGGCCCAAGCACCACAGCAAGCTTCCTAACTTGCACAGCTCTGCTGGTCCTATTGCAAAACTGAAATATGAAGCAGTGCTGCTGTTATTCTAGCAGGTTATCCTGCAAGTCTAGGTAGAAACAGGTCTGATTTTAATACTTTTTTAACCCTATTCTTTTTTTACCTTGTTAATTCAGCAGTGAACCTGCCTCCTAGCAGGTTATCCTGCAAGTCTAGGTAGAAACAGGTCTGATTTTAATACTTTTCTAACCCTATTCTTTTTTACCTTGTTAATTCAGCAGTGAATGTGCCAATGTCACAAAACTAAAATTTCTGGCATTGGTTTTCTTCTATATCTTGACTTCTTTCTACAAGTGACAAAGCATGACTACAATTTCAATTGAATTGCTATGTAAAATACTTGAAATTGTTCCCCTTTGTCCCGGTTAACTTTCAGACTTTCAGAATGTGTAGGTTCTTTCTACAAGTGACAAAGCATGACTACAATTTCAATGGAATTGCTATGTAAAATACTTGGAATTGTTCCCCTTTGTCCCAGTTAACAGGCCCTATTTTTTCAGGACAAGCACTGAAGGGAAATTTATATTCTCAAGATAGCATATTCTTCAAAATTTTCATGAACATAAACAGTGATAATAAGTCCTTTCCCCTCTGCAAGATGTTTTACATTCAAATTAACCAAAATCACAGGTTGTAGCTCAAGGTAAATATTGATCTCCATTCATTCTTATCTGTTCTCCACACTGGATAATGTTGTGAGCAAAAATGTAGTTAACTTTTGTTTAAATCCATCAAAATAGGGGAACGCTCTGAATTTTGTGGAGAAGAAAGTATCTGGGAAAGCAAATAGTGGAAAAACTGCTTTTACACCTGGCTGAGCCCTTTCTACCAGGCTGATCAGAGATGTGGTTCCTCTCTTGAAAAGCTTAACACTTGGCTTTCTCTGCCAGCTGCTTAGCAGCTTTTTCCAGGAAAAACATATTTCTTGTGGGTAAACCCTGAAGGGAATGTACTTAATACAGCAGCCCATTTTCTGTTTCTGATCAGCTCTGAGGCCAAGGTCCAAACCCTTTTGTTTTAATGATGTATCAGTCTCCCTCTCCTTCACAGACTGCCACAGCAAATTTTTTGTGGACAGTACCAGACATTGCCAGCAGTGTTTTCCTAATCTTCCTCAGGAAAAAGATTCCTGGAAAGTTAAATTTATTTTGTGTAGTTCTCCATTTTCTGTGTATAAAATTAAACATATTTTTTTTCTGTGCAGCAGGAGGCTCAGAAGTTCACTGAGCCAGACAACAAAACCAGTGAGCAGAGGGGTGGCCAAATGTGCTTTTTAGGAA